CACAGCCCTGTGACCAATCCTGGCCTGAGCCCCCATCCCATGCCCAGAGCCAGGCACTGCCAGTGACCTCATTCAGCACCCCAAAAATGAGTCCTGGGAGCTCCCAGGAAGCCTCCACTGCTTGTTCCCCTCAGGCTGCTCTGTCTGGGCTCTYCCTCCTCACCAAAACAGCGTTCAGCCCTTTCCCAGGAGCCCATCCCTCTTGGGGAGGCTGTTCAGGACCCTCTCAGTGACCCTTTCCTGGAAGTTGGGGTTGAATTCTACACTTCCAAGATTTCATGATTTCCGGTCCTTTTCCAGATCCATTTTTGGGGCCAAATGCTGAAAGTGCGGTTTCACCAGCAGCTTCCTGCCCAGGGCTTCCCCCACGAGAGCACGGTCCCGCTTCCCAACCCACACCACAGGCAAGTGGCACCTGCTCCCATTTACCAGCCCCAAAACCCCAATTCCAGCCCCAAGGAGATGCAGCCCCACATCTGGAGGCCACCAACACCTCAAGGAGCCTTTCATGGTCACGCTGGACCCAGCCTGGCAAACAGGCTCTGGGTCTCCTCCTCCTGTAAATGTTTTCCTACAGGTTTTGTGGGATGGTGTGAGGCTCAGAGGGGTCTGATCCTCCATCCTCAGCTGCACCAGGGTGTAAATGGTGACTCCAGTCCCTCAGTGGGGGCTGAGAAGTTGGGTTACGCACAAAATCCACTGCTCAGGRGTCACTGGTGTGGCCTCTGCTCCGGGGCAAAGTGCTGACACTGAGATCCCGTTCAGGGGCCCTGACGTGGCATTTTCTAGCCCAGGATGTGGCTCCCTCCCTGCGCAGGGCCTCAGTGGGGCTTCCGCTTCCTCCAGAGACATCCGGATCCCCATGGGAAAGGTGCATTCCCTCCCCAGGGACACAGGCAGCCCCAGCGAGGCACTGCTGACCCACRTGCAGCAGATTTATCCATTGCAGCATCCCAGGAATGAGCCTAAATCCAGGCCACGCTGCATCCCCCACCCCTGGCGCAGTGCTGTGTTGTGGGGCAGGATCCATCCCTCTCCCTGTTCCGGGAGCAAAGCCCTGGATCTGGAATGAGCAGAGCCCTCCAGCAGCTCAGAGCCCCTTGGGAAGCAAAGCCAGGCTTGAGGCACTCTCCCTCTCCTCTCCCTCTCCCTCTCCTCTCCCTCTCCCTCTCCCTCTCTGCCTGGAGAGGAGTTGGGGAGCCCGCAGTGCTTTCCATGCCCAAGCTCCCCAGGCCACCGCGGAAGGGGAAGAGGCTCCCCCTCTCTCCTCTTCCTCCCCGCCGCGTCGGGGTTTTGCAGCCAGGTAAACACAGGATGTTGATGAAACGGGGCTGGGCAGGTTGGGCGAGTCGGGAACCAGCCGGGAAAGGTTTCAGCCCGGGAATGGGCAATGCCGGAGCCCTTCCTGGCACCTTCCCCCGCCTGTCCCCAGGCTCAGGGAGCTCCCCTGCGTGGGGAGGGGCTGGCGGTGGTACCCAGGGCAGGGTGGGCTCCTCCTCTGCTCCGTGCCCTCGGSTGATCCGTGGGATCCCCCGGGATCTCCGTGCAGGCTGAGCTGAGCTCAGCACCCAGAGTTCAGACCAACAGCAGCCCTGTGGCACCTCCGGGTCCCTCTGAACACTGGGGACGTGCAGAGCACAGGGATGGGGGCACAGATCCGCCGGGATCCCGCCCTGCCATTGGCTCAGGGCTGGCACAGCCGGCTGGGATGGAACAGCCGGACCGAGGAATATTTGGCTCCCGACCCACAAAAGGCGCTACAGTCGGCTCTGGCATCAGCCCAGGCGCTCCCGGGGTGCAGGTGCTGCTGTCACCCCCACCGTGACCACCACAACGGGGCCAGCAGCGAGCAGAGGGGACCCGTACCCTGCACAGGGCACGGCCGGGACAGCGGGAGGGATTTGGAGTTAGGGGAGAGGGGCAGGGAGGGCGTGTGATGCTGGAAGGGACAGGACAGAGGTGACAAAGGGAGTGCCAGCCTCATTAGAGCCTGAGCGGAGGGGCAGGTGGCGCTGTCCCCAGTGTCCCCATGTCCCCASTGTCCCTTGGGGCACTGCTGCCATCTGCTGGGCTGGATGCCACCCTGCTCCGGTCCTGAGTCCGGCCACCGCGCCACAGGCCTCTGTGACCCCTCCCGGGCACTGTGGGACCGCGTGTGGCTCCAGCCCGGACACCCCAAGGTGCCCCACAAGCCTCGCTGCTGCCCCAAAACTGTTCCCGATATCCTCCCGGCACAGCTGATTGTCACCCCAATAAACCTGGACTGCAGGTTTCTGCCACGCCAACCCCTTCCAGTGCCCAGAGACCCCCTCGCCCTATTGTTCCCCTCCAGGGATGGCCTGGGATGGCCTTTGCATCACCCAGTTTGGGCTGATGGACACAGGGACACGATCAGACCCTTGGGTACAGCAGAGGCTTTGCTGGACWGCTTTTCTCTGGGAATATCCAGCTCCATCCCCGCCAAGGCTGCTGAGGGGCAGAGGAACTGATCCCAAGATGATTTCCTGCTGCATTCCCGTCCCCTGGGTCTCTCCAGGACGTGGGGATTTGCTGAGTCCCACCCTCCATGTGACAGGCGAGCACAGACTGAGCCTCTTCCCACGGCCTCCGTGACCCTCCCAGCTCTCCCAGCACCTCTGTGTCCCCTGGGATGGCACATCCCGGGGTAACCATCGGGGACTGTGACCTCAGTGGGTGTGGGGACACCCAAGGACACCCTACACGTCCCTCTCCACTCCTCACAGGCACTGAGAGCCTGGAAGTGGCCTCAGTGGGGTGTTCCATGGCATTTGCTTTTTGGATGCAGTCAGAAGAGGGATTAAGGTTTGGGAGAGGTGAATCACCCAGCCCATGTCCCACAGTGGCCCTACAAGCACCGTGGCTCATCCCACACCGGGCAGATGGCAGCAGCATCCCGCTCCTCGCTGGAAAATGCCCAAATCCACGGGCAGGGACTGAGCTGCAGCTGTCCCTGGTTTAATTCCTCGCAGCCAAGCGAGGCAATGTCTGGCGGATTTTCCATGCGCTCCATGCCCCAGCCCACACACAGGAAGGCTGAGCAGCCCCGGAGCCCTTCCCGCTGGGAGCGAGACCCAGTGCCTGCCGCCCACRCGAGCTGCAGGGAGTTTTAGCGCTGGGTTTGAGTCTAAAAGGGATTTTTATTCCCAAAACCTGTAAAAGAAAACTGGAAAAAAATCAACCCTCCCAAAGGGCCGCAGCGCAAGAAGCCAACACCAATTGTGTGTGCTGTGAACTCGCTGGGGTGTTCATCCTGAATTCCAGAGAAACCAGGTGTGTGCATCCACCCACCTCCGCACRCCTCCGCCGTTCCCACCCGCTACCAGCTCCTTGCTTCTCAAACAATTCCCACCAAGCGTCCTTTTGGCAGCTCAGCCCTTCCAAGGCACCGGAGCCTCTCCAGCAGCGCTCCCCGTGCTCTCCGGACACCCTTCCCAACGTCCCCAACCCGTGTCCAGCCCATCTCCATCCCGTTCCCATCCCAATCCCAATTCCCATCCCAATTCCGCCCACCACTCACCGCGCGGGAGATGCCCAATCCTGCCGCCATCCTTTAGCCCCTGGCCCCGGCTGGGCTGGCACGGCTTCCCCCGCCTCCCCCGCACATCTGGGCAGCTGTGCCCGCGGCAGGGCCCGTGTGCTGCTCCGGCAGCGCTGACATCAGCGCGGTTTCCTGCCCGCCGGCGCCGCCGCACCGAGCGCTCAGCCCCGACCCCACAGCCCCGCGGGGTGCGAGCCCCAGGCGGCCCCGGGACCCCTCCGATCGCCCTGCGACCCCTCTGATCGTCCCGGGATCCCTCCGATCGCCCCGGGACCCCTCCGAGCACCCTACCACAGCCATGGAGTCGTTGGCCCTGTACAATTTCCAGGCGACAGAGAAGGACGAGCTGCCCTTCCGGAAAGGGGACACCCTGAAGGTACAGGGGGCAGGGGTCACTTTGGGGRACAGAGTGGGCACTTGGTGGCACCAGAGCTTTCATGGTCCCTGATTTTATTGCTTCTGGGGCTTTCTGTGGGATAGAAGGAGCCAACCTCGAGGATTTTGGAGGGCGGGGCAGCATTTCCCGATTGTCTGTGCCACCAGGCACATCTCCAGGGGACAGCCCCAGCTGGGACATGGCATGTGGCCTCCCTGGCCATCAGTGCCACCAGCTGTGCTCTGTGGCAGCCCCCCAGGGGCTGGGACACATTTTCCCTGTCCGAGGGGCACTGGGGGTCACAGGGACCCTGTACCCCAGCACCCAGTGGCATTGGGATGGGCTTTCAGATGCCACCTGGGAATCCCAAAATGCTTCAAGGAGGCTCAGAACATCCCTGAGAGGCTCCAGCACTGCGATGGGAGTGAGGGCACCTATCCCCTGCCCACCTTCTCACCCCTTTCCAGCTCCTCCCAGACCCCTGACACCCTGCAGCCCTGCAGGGAGGGCGAGGGCACAGCCTTGCCGTAGCCCAGAACCCCAAACCCRCTGTGCTGTCCCTGCCTCCTGGCCTGTTTTCCCGGTGTCCTGACCCGGKGTTTCAGATCCTGTTTTCACAGCTGTGCCGGCCCCGGGCCCCTGCGTGGGAGGCTGGAAAATGTTGTCACACGGAAGCGGGTGTCAGCACCCACTGCCACCGTCCTGGGGACACAGGGCCCTGGCTGCTGTCCAGGGATAGATTTCACCCTTTTCCCTGGGCAAGGGTTTGGGACACACCAGGCACCTTCCAGCTCTGTGCAGGGGACCCCAAACCCCCCAGATGGTGTCACCGTGGTCACAGCCCCCTTTTCCCCAGGGGTTGGTGGGAGTTGTGGGGTCTGGGGCAGCAATGGGGTCCCACTCAGCCCCCTCCAGGGAATGACAGCCAGGCTGACGCTTCCCTGCTCCTCTCTCACCTCAGATCCTCAACATGGAAGATGACCAGAAYTGGTACAAGGCTGAGCTGTTCGGCCGCGAGGGCTTTGTCCCCAAAAACTACATCAAGGTCAAGCCACACCCGTGAGTACCAWCCCACCAGACAGGCAGCAATCCCAACGGTGCATCCCAGTTCCCAAAGGTCTGCCACCAGCCAGGRTGGTCCCACACATGGGGAAACTGAGTCACAGAGATGGGGTCTGCCTGCTGGGTCAGCCTGCCAGTGCCACCACAGCCTGAGGGGACAGGAGGCAGCAGAACACCCACGTACCCCCAAAAATACAACCCTCACACTGAGCTGCCACTGAATGAATGATAATTGGGGAACAACAAAGCGTTATGGGATTATGGCTGCATTAAACACAATCCTATTAGTGTGTTATTAAAGCCCAGCCTAATCCATCCCTGACTGAACCTGTGTTTTATGTATCATTAGCCCCCGGTAAATCACATTTCAATGCCGGAGCAAAAGCGTGGGTTCAGAGCTGCCCGGGGCACATCCCACTGCTCGTCCAGCTTGGGATAATAACCCGGGATGGGCGAGACGCAGCCTCCTCCACACAGCCCCTGGAGGGCTGGCACTGGGAGATGCTCTGCGCTAAACCCCGTGGCTGATCATTCACCAGGGCAGCAGGGGATCTGCATGGCCTGGGGATCCGAAATACCCAAAACAGCCTCGGCAGGGACGGGACACGGGGATTTTGTTCCTGCAGCTCCTTTCGGCAGCTGCCGGCAATGCGGACAGGAACGGTTTATCCTGGCACCGAGGGTTTTCTGCCCTCCGCCTGGAAGGGYTGTTCCCACGAGGGGCAAAGGGACGCGGAGGAGGGGACAGGCAGCAAAGAGGAGGACCAGACACGTGGTGGGACAGGCCAGGTGACAGGATGCGGTGGCGGCTGTCGGTGACGCTGCGCTCGCCCTGTGYCCCCCCGAAAATGCCGTGATGAACCGGGAGAGGGAGGGAAGGGAGGAGCTGCCGGGGGAGGGTCCCAGCCCTGTGCGGAGCCCGATGGACACCCCGCTCCCGCCGGCACCGGGAATGTCCGTGCCTCCACCCCGCAGGGCGCGTCCCCGGGTGTTGAGGGGTGCCCGCGGGGCTCAGCCCGGTCCCCTCGCAGGTGGTACGCGGGCAGGATCTCCCGGCACCTGGCAGAGGAGCGGCTCCTCCAGCGCAATCACCTGGGAGCCTTCCTGATCCGCGACAGCGAGAGCGCCCCGGGCGAGTTCTCTCTCTCCGTCAGGTCAGTGGCTTTGGGACTCGCGGCGGGACGGGAAGGGGTCCCTGCAGCCCCCGCTTTGGGGACTGAGGCATCGTGCTGGGGGAGGGGTGAGCGCTCTGCCCTGTCCTGGCCACCGCTGGGGCTGCGGAGCCGTGTCCCCAACTCATCCAAGCGCTGCTCGCACGGGACCTTCCCCTCCCTCCTCTGCTCCGCAGCTCCGCCTCCATCCCCGCCGCTTCCCGCTCCCTCGGCGCCCGCGCCGCCTCGCTCGGGATCCCTCAGGAACACCCCTAAACACGGCCAAGGGGGTGATGAAGGGGCTGGGCAAGCACCGCCGGGGACACGGCCCGGAGCATCCCCACGGCTTCGGCAGCCAGGGCTGCACAACGGGCACASCCTGGCCCCGGGCACCTCACCCCTYCCCTGCCCCGGCCGGGGGAGCAGGAGGCGGCCCCAGGCCAGSCAGGCACTTTCTCACACTTTTAATCCCTGGTTAAACGTTTCGGGAGGTTCTTGCCCGTAATGAAAGGGAGCCGCGCTCTKGCAGTGCGTCACCGGCAGCGCGGGCGGGTCCTGCCCCTGCCCGGGGCCCTGCAGCGCGGGCACCCCAACCTGYCACCCCAGGCACATCCTGTGGGGTGGCAGTGCGGGAAATCCTGCAGCGTGGGGGTCTCCAGGAGCGCTGGAGAGCCGGGAGCACAATCCCAGCCTTTGCAGCCTCCTCCTGGCATGTGCTGAGACCTGCAGCCGTCCCCACACTGTCCTCAGATGTGGCCCTGGACAAAGCCACCTGCCCTACACGTGGCTGGCACGCTGCCATCCCCGAGCCCAGGSCATCCCGCTGTGCCAGGGGTGGACATTGAGCTCTGGCTGCCTGTGGGATGAGCTGTAGCCCCTCTCAGCCGCGGGTCTGTGTTGCAGAGCCAGGGATGACCCCAGTGCCACCATCACCCCCACCATGGCAGGAAGGGTGCAGTGGGACCCGTGGGCTCATCCCAACCTTGCCAGCATTCCCCGGCTTTACCCACCTCAGGGGATGCTGCCAGTGCCCCAAGGCTGGGGTAACATCCGTACTCCTTCCACAGCTACGGGAAGCACGTCCAGCACTTCAAGGTGCTCAGGGAGAGGAACGGCAAATATTTCCTCTGGGAGGAAAAGTTCAACTCCCTCAACGAGCTGGTGGATTTCTACAGGATGAGCACCATCGCMAAAGAGCAGCAGATTTTCCTACGGGACGAGGAGCAGACCCAGGAGGTACCGCCGGGGATGGGGTTATGGGGTGATGGCAGGGCACTCAAGGAACTTCCCTGCACCCCACGGTGCTCCCCTGCACCCCAGAATCTTCCCTGCACCCCAC